GTCCAAGGTCGAAGCCGTCACTGAAAATGCATGAGGGAATCGATCCCTGTGGTACCTCCAAACCAAACCCATGTCCGCCACTACCGCCCCCGCCCACTGCACTGGGGCCAGGAGTAACAAGGAAGGCGCCACCCGCTCCGTCCTCAATCGGCCCACTGCCATCACCGCCGTCGAATCCATGCTCGTCCCCATGTCCTCTGTCCTGGTCGGGTCCCTCTCTCTCGACGTCAAAGTCCTCGTCATCGGCGGCATCTCCGTCGTCAGACCTCTCACCACCCTCGTCCTCGCTCGACGATYGCACAACCTGTGTCTGMTTGCCCCCTCTATCTGTCGCATTCCTAGTCAAGGGAGGGGTCATGCGATCAACATCACAATGTTTYTGCCGATCCCGCGAACGMATATCACTGGCAGCCTCATGATCACTCTCTCCGCCAGACTCCTCACCAACATCAGGTGTGTCACTGCCTCTCTGCTCCAAGTCCTCYGGGTCCGTCYACARCTCTGCCTCCATCTCGTCTGCAGCATGCGGGTCCGTGGGTGGATCGTACTCGATCTCCTCGTTGTACAGCTCGATATGAGTTGCACGACGACCAAACACCGTCTGAACCGCAGGGGGGTGGCGAACCGTCGAGGCACGCTGCATCCTGCGCGCSTSGCGCGCGATCTCCTCGTCCGTCAATGACCCCGGSGGCAGAGTACCTGATCTGCGCGGCTCCGGGACGTCGTCCRACYCGTCCTCAACATCTCCCCACGRCAGAACAAGTCCCCTCCTCCTTTGTCTACATGCCAGGAGCTTCTTGTTCGCGCAGATCTCCACCATTTCAGTCAGCTTYATGAAGTCCAACCCGTTGCGGCGTTTCTCGTGGATACGCTCGTGCAACGCCCAGTTCCTCTCCGCAGGAGAGGCGTAGACCCACGTGTACATGAGACGTGTGGCGATGGCACAAAGCTCAGGGGCACAGCTGCCGTGCAAAACCCACCAATCAGCAATGACCTGTGTCTCATCCGGTCCCTCGCACGTGTCCTCGTCTCCAGTGCCTACATCTCCACCCCAATAATACCTCGGCCCGCGCGCGTGGAAGTCGTACAACTGCTGACGGACCAACCTGTACCTGTCTCCCTGCCGGTCGAAGCCCGTCTGCATGTAGATGTACTCAAGTGTCATMTCCGCAACCTTCTTCTGYTGATCGCTGCGCCTCGGAGACTGGAARTAAACGAAGTTTCGCCTCTTGGGATTGAGAAGATGGGCGGCAGCATGGGCGGGCTCGAGCAGATGGCATGCACAAGTGTAACAATCCTGCAGCATGCCAACCAGGCGAGGTCTCGTCGACTCCAACTTCCGAATCTCCTCGGCCAACTGGGTGACCCACCGGAAGATGCAAGAGATCACCAAACCCCCCTGGTCCAACATCCTCAACAGCTGCACGACCGGGGTGAAGACGTCGATGCGATCATCCATCTCCCCCCAAAACAGCCCGCATCGCACCTGTGTGCGCACCCACCCGGCCTGCCCGAGCAGCCTCCTCTCCCATGGAAGTCGCGCCCAATCCCCCTCCAACATCATCGTCTCAAGTGGAACCCTGCGGTCGCGCAACCTCTCCATCATGATGTACATAGACGCGAATCGCGTCTGGCAAGGGTACAACAACTCTCGGCCGCGTCGTGGTCTGCCTACTRTCCCCTCTCCGCCCGCGGCGCTGCCACCCAAACRGTTCGCCCGTGCATCGCGATCGGCCCTCGCGATGTAACTCCTGAACAACGTGAGAGTCGATCCGTGACATCTAATGAATCGGACAACCGCCCTCGCCCTGGTCAACAAGTTGATGGCCCATGTCTTATCCTTGACCATGTCTGACAACATCAAGTTGCAGCAATGGACAGAACAAGGGAGCCAAGGGATGCGACGGATATCTGGACCGGGATCGTTGCAAAGCGCTCGACCGGCGGCGACATAAACTGATGCAGAGTCCGTGCAGATGGCGTTGATGTTCTTCACGCAAAACTTTTCGAACACCTTCTTCCAGCGCTGCAAGACGACGTCTGTCGTCTCTGCGTCAACCCCTTTCCTGCGCACCGTCGTGAAAAGGAAGGCGCCCGACAGTCCTGCTGCCAGGAAGTTCACGATGGGCTCAGAGTTCAGGGACTTCTTCCCATCCGTGAGGATGGTAGCCCCTGTGTGTTGCATCTGCTCGCGTATGTCACGTAGCTTATCAACTATGTACGCACGCTTTTCCTGTATGCCACTGCCTGCTATGCGCTTGAACTGGGGCAAAGTAGGCTTTATGCCCCGAGGCATGTTCTGCAAATGTCTCGTAAGGGCCCTGTACTCGGGCATCCTCGCCCTCTCAAATGGGACACCACCAATATACCACCACTGCAGGAAGAGATGGTCGAAGGTGGTCTGCCACTCCGTGTCGTACATCTCATCCAGTCTGACCTGCTTCAAACGTTTCGTGTCCGGCACGCGTGCCGCAGGAGCGGTGTCCGCCCTCCTCTTCCCACGGCCATCCATAGGCGCACGAGTCCTTGTCTGATGAGCAGTGCGTCGTGCCTTCAATGATCCCCCCTGAAGGGACGCTGCTAACTCTTGAACATTGTCCTCACCGGTGTCCTCCGTCTGTCCCTCGTCCTCACCCTCCGCCCCTGTGTCCATCTCATCGTCCTCGCCGCCACACTGTCCTCCCTCGCTGTCCGCCCTCTCCCTGTCCAAAACATCCTGCACCTCGTCATCCTCCGGCACTCCAACTCCCACCTCTCTGTTATTCCGGATGCCACAATACTCCATGTAATCCCGCAGCTGTCTCTCTCGCCGCTGGTCAAAAGGGTACTGTGTGGTATTCCAAATGTCGACGAGGACCTCTGGTGTCACCTTGGGG